TAATGGACCTGTTGGCTCGAAATCCACACTGTGATTCTGGATAGACTCTCTCTGCAAGCACCTCGAGCCTCTTCAGTACGACACGGGCAAGCAGCTTCCCTACAACACTAAGAAGAGAGATGCTGCGGTAGTTGTTACAGTCACCCCATCACCTTTGTTCTTGTACAGTGTGACAATATTTGCATCCTTCATGTCCTGTGGTACTCTACCTTCCCTCCAACAAAAACAGAAGATTTCATGCAATTCAGTGGGGATGTTCTCTTTGCAGCACTTCAGAACTTCGGCAGGGATGTTATCTTTCCCGGGTGCCTTGCCAGAGGCAAGGGAATCCAGGGCTGCATTTAGTTCTTGTTAAGTTAGTTCATTGTCAAGCTCTTCCAAGACAGGCAGGCACTCAATGTTATTTAATGCTTCTTCAGTTACCACATTTTCTCTGGAATATAACTCAGAGTAGTGCTGCACCCAGTGTGCCATCTGCTGTGCTCGGTCCTGGATAACCTCACCTGTAGCAGACTTCAGAGGGGCAGATTTCTTCTGTGTTGGACCTAAAGCATGCTTTTTTAAAAAAAATTTTTAAACAAAAACAACATAAAAATATCATCCTTCCAAACAATTAAAGACAGTGTTTCGATCAGTTAGAATCATTTCGTGCTCTCAAAAATTTTCAAAATCACATCATATGACAAATGTTCTTTCCTCTAACAGAATATAAGTATTTAAACATTTTATCCAAATTTCATTTATTTATTTATTTATTGGTTAGATTTATATGCTGCCCTTTTCCAGAGAACTCAGGGCGGCTTACAATGCGTTAAGCAATAGCCTTCATACTTTTGTATATACCTGCTTAGTAGGGCTTTCGCCCCCCCCCAAAGTGGTGTTCTTTTTTATACAAAATCAGCTTATTGCCCCCACAAACCCGGTTCTCATTTTACCTACCTCAAAAGGATGGAAGGCTGAGTCAACCTTGAGCCTGGTGAGATTTGAACTTGCAGTAATTGCAGGCAGCTGGTGTTACTTAACAGTGCTTTAGTCTGCTACGCCACCAAGGCTCTTCTCTATATATTTCATATCCATATCATATCATATCCAATATCTCATCTCCATGCTTTATTATCTATCCATTGATAAAATATCTCCCATATCAAATAATATTGTTTATCTTCCTGTTCTCTTATTTCAAATGTCAGTCTACTCATTTCAGCACAGTCCAACATTTTCTTAATAATTTCTTCATCAGTAATTATCTTCTCTCCTTTCCAATTTTTTGCAAATACAATTCTTGCCGCTGTTAAAATATTCACAATTAGATATTGCAATTTTTTATTAAATGTCTCTGGTAATATTCCTAATAAAAATATCTCTGGTTTAAAGTCAACATGTCTCTTTGTCATTTTTTCCAAATGTGTATCTTAGTCCAAAATCTCCTTGCTTCTACGCATGTCCACCACATATGGTAATAAGATCCTGGGGTCTGATGACACTTCCAACACTTCTCCGATTTGTTCTTGAACATTCTGGCTATTCTCGTCAGGGGTAAATGCCACCTGTAAAACATCTTATACAAATTCTCCTTATATGCTGTAGACATTGTCATTTTATGATTATGTGACCACAATTTTTGCCATTTCTCTAAATCAATACTATAACCAAAATCCCCCCGCCCATGCTATCATTGATCCTTTAACTTGTCCTTCTTCCAATTTTACCTCTAGCAAATATCCATATAGCTTTTTAATTATATGGTCTTCAGAACCCATTATAAACAGCGTTCTTGAAATATTCCCATCATTCAGATGCATTTACTTCAGCTGGGCCTGGGAGACTTTCCTTGAGTGCTTGTGCAAATTCCTCCACTTTGCCCTGATTGCGGGTTTTGTTGATGTCAATTCGTGGTCTTCCTTCCTTCTTCAATGCAATCTCTTTGTTTGCAGTTTTATTCTGCTGCATACCAAGGAGTGGCCTGTATTGCAATCAGCATCCTGATAGCTGCGTGTGATTGTAACATTGGGGAGGTTGGAGCGCCTGGTAAGAATCAAGTCGAGCTGGTGCCAATGCTTCGATCTTGGATGTCTCCAAGAGACTCTGTGTTGAGGTTTTGTTTTAAAGTATGTATTGCTAACGCAAAGATCATAGTAGCAGTAAAACTCCAGCAGTCATTGGCCATTTTCGTTCATCTTTCCGATGCCAAACTGACCTAAACAAGTGGGCCAAGAACTATAATCAGCTCCAACTCTGGCATTAAAATCGCCAAGGATAAACAGTGGTTCTTTCTCAGGGATTTTCTTGATAATAGCAGCCAGATAGTCATAGAATTTGTCTTTGGATTCTACTGAAGATGATAACGTTGGAGCATATGCACTAATAAGAGTAACCAGACAGAATTCTTTCACTTTCTGCAGCAGGTGGAGTAATGGATCCTAGTAGGGTGTTTCTGACCGCAAAGCCAACCCCATATTCCTTAGACTCATTTGATGGTTTTCCCTGCCAGAAGAACCATAAAAGGATATGGTTTTATGGTTCAAAAAGCATATGGACCATAAAAGCATACGGATAAACAAATAATAACACAAGGACCTGGTGGCTCAGCAGACTGATAGCATTGTGATTAACACCAGCTGTCTGCAATTACTGTAAGTTCGAATCTCACCAGGCTCAAGGTTGACTCAGCCTTCTGTGCTGTATACTTTCTAAGGAAGCCTAGGTCAGAACAACCAAGGAGATCTTATTCACACCCACACACAAACACCCACACCCACACCCACACACCAATGTAGGGCCTGGTGGCTCAGCAGACTGATAGCATTGTGATTAACCCCAGCTGTCTGCAATTACTGTAAGTTCGAATCTCACCAGGCTCAAGGTTGACTTAGCCTTCCATCCTTTCTAAGGTAGGTTAAATGAGGACCCAGTTTGTGGGGGCAATAAGCTGACTTTGTATAAATATACAAAAGTATGAAGGCTATTGCTTAACACATTGTAAACCGCCCTGAATCTCCGGAGAAGGGCAGCATATAAATCAAATAAAAAAAAATGTACATATTTCATGTATGATAGACAGCTCTGACTAAATATATGATTTAATATGAATTGTAAATTTGTCTTGACTGGTCATCTTAATCCATATCCACACTAGAATGTGAAAAAGAAGTGGACTTAAGTACAAATAAGTTTTTCATTTAAAAATTTAGGGCTTAGGAATTGTTTCCGAAGTAAGCAAACATTGGCAGTTTTCTACTGTACATCATGTGTAGGGGTTACCTATGAAAAATTGGCTAAATTCAGAAGGTCTGGCTGAAATTTGAAACTAGGTTATCTGAGGAACCGTCTCACCCCATTGAGATGACCATGGGTCTACCCCAAATCATCCAAGGCCAGACTTGGGGTAATGGTCATACTCCAGATATAATTTTTTTCCCAGAGCAATAGTAACATGGTCTGCTGGGGGAATCTGTCATTATCCCATCATGGCCAGACTATGCCCTGGTGGCTGTGGGATTTTCCAATGCTCACCTATTTCAATAGTTCACTCTTGACAACTAATGGACACATTTGGGTTTCAGAAGGACCTGGGAGATATTCTGCTTTATGGCTCTGTAGAGGTTTTTGTCGCAAATGGACAACCTCCTATAGAGGCTTTTGTCTTTTCCTAACTCCGTGACCCCACTTAACTGATTTGGGAAACAGTTTTATACCAAACTATCATCTTACACTCACATAACCCCTTTGTTGTGACTCTGGCTCCCGAGCCTGTCCTCATGGAGGAAGATGATTCTGAAAGTGATGGGGAGGAACTGACAAGGCCTCCCTCTCCAGGACCCTCCTTTCTGACAATGCCTCAGGTTCCAGCTGAAGGCCAGGAGGAAAGCATGTCGGGGCACCCACTAATAGGGAGTGATGAAGATCAATCTTGGATTGATCCCAGGCAGCGTCGGAAGGAGAGGCGTGCGCAGCAAAGGAAGAGGTGGGGAAGGGCCAGAGATTGCTGAGTCTCCGAGCCATGCCCAACAGGGGATAAAAGTGGGTGGGGTTGCTCTGCAGGCTCTGTGACGGACAAAAACTGCATATCGTGAGCTTCGGATGGGATATTTTTCGGAATTAAGGCTTGGACTTTGTGAATGACTTCTGACTACTCTTTGAACTCTTGGTTGCCCCAGCAACGGACTACAGATACTCTGACTCCTGTTTCTAGAGGTGATAAGAAACTTGGCAGGCATTCAGAAAGTAGCTGCCAGAATTTTTATCTGCCAAAGGGATTCAGGTCAGCTTGTAGAAATAAATTACTGTAGACATCTTTTGCTCATGTGTCTGCCTATGTGAGGTGGGGGGACAGAACACCCTTTATCAAATGCTTCTTTGGAGTCTGACACTACCATATTCTTCTCAAATGCAGGACAGGTTTTAAACCAGGGGTGTCAAACTCAATTTTTTAGAGGGTCACCTCAGGGCTGTGGTTGACCTCGGTGTGGCCCACTGGGCGGATGTGGCTGAGTGGATGGTTGAGACCAGCTTGACGCCACTCCTCAAACTGCTGGCATGTTTCCTCTTCGCCCTGTGTAGACAGGGCTAAAGACATACTGGCCCAATGTTTCCTCTTCACATTGGGTAGACCAGGCCAAAGCGACATGGGCCAGCCCCTTACATTTTCCAGAATGGCCCCATTGGCCAAATCCGACTACATCACAGGCTGGATCCGGCCCATAGGCCTTATGTTTGACACCCCTGGTTTCAACTGTTGAACTTCACAATCACCTGCAGACACTACTGTTAAAAACGCACACTCAGAATGACAAACATAGGACAAGTCCAACCATGTCCTGAACATGTCTGTCACAATCTTGCCTGTGAAGAATACACGGATGCACAGCATCACGTCTCTGATATGTCTGTACCCATCCTCTGGATGTTCATGTCAAAAATACACATGCCTTCATTAGTTAATGAGAAGCAAGAAAAAGAGACTGACAATAAAGAAAAAGACAAAGACAAGGAGATTGATCATGGAAAATTAAATGATTATGCGGGTAGTAATAATAAAAAGATTACAATTCATATTTAATCTATATATTTAGTCAGAGCTGTCTATCATACATGAAATATGTCCATACATCAATTTGTGCTATTAATTATTTATCCACATGCTTTTATAATTGCCTTCCAGAAGGAAAAAAAAATTCTGATCTATTTTAAATCTCAGACAAAGGCCAATCTTCTATATTGCACATTGTCCTCTGGCTTAAATGTGCCAGTGGGAAAGATCTCCAACATCTATAGATAAAAGATATCAGGCAAATGGAAAGATTTGTTAAAACTTCCTCTTCATCAGCTGATGTTTATCATTCAGTTCAGGTCTCATCACAATGATAAAACACTTGGGAAGGAAGATGCACATCAATAATCCAGCACTGGAGGAGATCATGGAGAAGATCTCCACAGCCAATGTATATTTTCCCCTTGTGCTTAGATAGGTTGGAATAAAACACAGCCAAACACTGCAGAAGACCAACATGCTGAAGGTGATGAATTTGGCTTCATTGAAACTGTCAGGTAACGTCCTAGCTAGGAAAGCAGCAGAGAAGCTAACCAGAGCAAGAAAACCCATAAATCCCAAAACACAGTAGAACATGACCGAGTCTTCATTGCACTCCAGGATGAGTTCTTCAGATGTTGAGTGTGCATCGAAATCTGGGTACGGTGGGGACGTTATCAGCCACACAGCACAAACACACATTTGAACAAGGGAGCAGGCTAGAAGAATGAAAGTGATCATTCTTCCCCCCACCCATTTCCTCAATCTGGAACCAGGTTTGGTGGCCATGAATGCGAGAACCACCACAAAGGTTTTGGCCAAGACACAAGAAACCGCCACAGAAAAGATAAGGCCAAAAGCTGGTTGTTGAAGGAGACACACCATCGTATTGGGTCTCCCGAGAAATAGAAAGACACAAAGGAAAGAGAGAAGGAGGGAACCTAGGAGAAGGTAGGTTAGATTCCGATTGTTGGCTTTGACGATGGGAGTGTCTTTGTGTTTCATGAAGATTGTGATGACCAAAGTTGTCATTAAGGAAAAGCAAAGGGAAAGAACAGTCATAGTGATCCCCAAGGGTTCTTCATAGGACAAAAAAGTGATCCGCTTTGGAATGCACATATTTTTCTCAGGATTTGGATATTGATCTTCTGGACATGGAGAGCAGTCATCCACATCTGGAAAAGAACACATCGATTGGAATTGATACCATGGATTATAGACAGTGTTGAACCCTCATGGCTTAGTCCCATTATATTTGGAAATTTCCTACCCTTCTCCTTTGATATTTTCCCCTCTGGACACAGACGACAAGCATAGCAGCAAAAGGACTTTCCTTCTATCTTTTCCTTGCTGTATCCTTTCTCACAGGGATCATTACACAGAGATAAAGGCAATGCCTATCAGCGAATGAAGAAGAATATTTTAAGATGGAGAGGAAAAAGGAAGTGCTTGGAGAGATATTGTTACTGTATCAACTGCCTAGAAATTGGTTAATAAGGAGAAGTAATGTGATTACATCATTTCAAGAGCTAACTGGTCTGAAATAATAGTTCCTTAAATATCTACAATTATTGGTATCAATGACTTTCTATATCTATCAACCTCAGTTTCCACAGATAATTTTTGTGCTGGTTAAAGATGTTTTTCTCAATTTCTTAATTTTGCAGTCACCAGACTGATGACAATTAATAGACTGGATTGTAGCTCTTAACTTTAAAACCATGCGTTGTTAACAAAGGGTCAAAGTAATGAGTACAATATTCTATGCCAGGGGTATCAAACTCAATTACCCTGAGGGCCGCATCAGGGTTGTGTTTACTTTTGGGGGCAGGGTTCATGTCCAGGTGGGCATGGTCAGGGTGGGTATGGCCAGATCGATGTCTCCCCAGCTCCGTTTTCAGCTGGGAAAACCTCCTGCAGCGCTCTGCCAGGAAAAACAGGCACAGCCCCCACAAACTCCATATTCGCTGGCAGAAGCACCATGGTATAGTCCTTCACTGTTTCCAGGGTGGCTCTCTGGGCCATATCTAAGCTCCCTGCAGGCATGATCTGGCCTGTAGGCCTTGAGTTTGACACCCCTGTTCTATGCCAACTATTAGAAAAGTAAACATTCTTACAGATAATTTTTTTTGAAAAAAGTTTTATTTTGGATTAAAATAAAAACAACAACATAAAAATATCATCCTTACAAACAATTATAGACAGCATCTGAATCGGTTAAAATTGTTTCGTGCTTACAATTTTCCAAATCTCATCATATAACAATTATTCTTTACTTGAACTGAAGATAATTATTTAAACATATCATATATGTTATCACATCTCCATACTTTTTTATCAAACCATTGATAAAATATGTCCCATATCAAATAATATTGTTTATCTTCCTGTTCTCTTATTTCAAATGTCAATCTACTCATTTCAACACAATCCAACATTTTCATAATAATTTCTTCATCAGTAATTATCTTCTCTCCTTTCCAGTTTTTGGCAAATACAATTCTGGCCGCTGTTAAAATATTCACAATTAAGTATTGTAATTCTTTATTAAATGTCTCTGGTAAAATTCCTAATAAAAATATCTCTGGTTTAAAGTCAATATGTCTCTTTGTCATTTTTTCTAACCATGTATGTATCTTAGTCCAAAATCTCCTTGCTTCCATGTATGTCCACCACAGAGAGGGTCTCCTCAGGGTGCCGTCGGTCAGGCAATGTTGGCTGGCAACCCCCTGGGGAAGAGTCTTCTCTGTGGGGGCACCCACCCTCTGGAATGAGCTACCCCCAGGGATACGACTGATCCCGGAACTCCGTACTTTTCGCCGGGCTCTGAAGACTTTTTTATTTCGGCAAGCTGGGCTAGTTTAACATTTTTTAATTGGTGAATTTTATGGGTAAGGGGTTTTAAATTGGGGGAGGCCAATATAGATTTAATTTTGTTTTAAAGTATTTTAATGTTTATATTGTATGTTTTTAAATCTTGGCTGTTCACCGCCCGAGTCCTTTGGGAGAGAGGGCGGTATAAAAATTAAATAAATAAATAAATAAATAAATAAATAAATAAATAAATAAATAAATAAATATGGTAATACGATCCTGGAGTTTGACGACACTTCCAACATTTCTCCGATTTATTCTTAAACATTCTGGCTATCCTTGTCGGGGTAAATACCACCTGTAAAACATCTTATATAAATTCTCTTTATATGCTGTCGACATTGTCATTTTATAATTATGTGACCACAATTTTTGCCATTTCTCTAAATCAATACTATAACCAAAGTTTTTCCCCATGCTATCATTGATTCTTTGACTTGTTCTTCTTCCAATTTTACTTCAAGCAAATATCCATATAACTTTTTAATTACATGGTCATCCGAACCAATTAATATCTTATCTAAACCAGTTGAAACATTATAAATACCTTCTTGTTTGAAGTCTTCTTGATATCTGGAAAGTATTTGCATATATGAAAACCAATCTATCTTAATTCCCTGGTCTTCTAAGTTTTGTTTCAATTTAAGTTCACCCTTTTCATCCAATAATTCACTATATCTAACAGTTTGTTCCCCTCTAAATACCACTGGATAAGAAAAAGCTTCAATTGTAGATACCCAGACTGGAATCTTCAAATAATGGTATTTTTTAATCTTCTCCCATGTCAAAAACAAAGCTTCACGTATCTGATGTCTTCTAAAATACCCCTGAATTTTAGTTCCTTTATACCATAAGAAAGTGTGCCATCCCATCAGCAAATCATGCCCCTCCAAATTTAATAATCTAGTGTTTTTCAATGTTACCCATTCTTTAATCCACATTAAACAAACCGCTTGGTAGTATAATTCAAAATTTGATAATCTAAAACCACCCTTCATTTTAGCATCTTGTAACAGTTTGAGTTTTATCCTTGCCTTCTTTCCCTGCCAAACATATTTCAAATCTCTCTCCAATCTTCCTGATTAAGCTCTTCCAAATCCCTTTGCTTCTCTCTCTTAATCTGGAAAGCGTCCATATTTTCCAAAATCACATTAAACTGAGTTTCAACCCTCTCTTCCTCCAGCAACCCACTGCTGTCTGGGAAACTTTTTTTTTATTTGATTTATATGCCGCCCTTCTCCGGAGACTCAGGGCGGCTTACAATGCGTTAAGCAATAGCCTTCATACTTTTGTATATTTATACAAAGTCAGCTTATTGCCCCCACAAACTGGGTCCTCAATTTACCTACCTTAGAAAAGATGGAAGGCTGAGTCAACCTTGAGCCTTGGAGAGATTCGAACCAGCAGTAATTGCAGGCAGCTGTGTTACTAACAGGGTGCTTAGACCACTGTGCTACCAAGGCTCTTAATCTGATGAAGAACTTTGAAGTATTGATACAGTGTCCTCCTTTGTCTCTTTGTCTTGAATTTGAACAGCTTCCCTCTTCTTTCCATCCAAAAAACCTTTAATTCTTTCCATTATACCAGATATATGTGACTCAAAAATTTCTCGTAACCTAATACATATTTGTGGATTTGCTGGTGTATGTAATGATAATCCTTCCACGCTTTCAAAAGTACCAGCCATTTTTTTTTCTGTTTAAAACTTTCACTTATGCTTTCCAGCAACTAGATCAATTGTTTATAGAATATTCCTTATTATCATAGATAGTTAAAGTCAATTAAATTAAATTCTTTCTTCCTGAATATAGAAACCAAATCTTTAGGAGCGCTAAGAGCTCTAACAAGCACTTTTGATTTTACTCTCACTTCCATGCCCATAACAATTAAGCGCCATCTTTCTTCTCCTTTACTCTCCACAAAAAAAGAATTTAGCTATGGAGTTAAAGTTCAATACTTGCAATTGATAAAACTCCTGTCTTTGCTTTGCCTGCTTTGTTCGCTTTCAGTTGTTAATCCTTGATAGCAGAGGCGGTCGCGGCGTCTTGCTCTGCTTAAAGCAGAGGAGTCCTGGATCCGGAGCTTTGTCAGGCTTAACAGGGAGCTCTCACCCATTAAAGCCCCAGGATTATTCCTAGGGCTTTTTGGGGAGCTCTACCCTCACCCGACTGCTCACCTCCCCCTCTTCTTCTGAGGGGAAAGTTTACAAACAAGTTTACAAACTGATTGTCGCTGTCTTAGTGGTTCTACGGAATCCAGGGCTAGCGCTCCAAAAGGAGCATCCACCAACGCCTGCGGTGCCACCGGAAGTCCAGGATTCTTGTAATGTCTTATAGTATTCAACAGGCAAACCGTCTGGTCCTGGTGTTTTTCCATTTTTTTTGTTTCTTAATTGCTTCTGTTAATTCCATCATTGTTATGCGCCCATCTAGCATTTCTTCAATGTCCTTGGGGATCAGAGGTAATTTTGCGTTCTGTAAATATTTTTTAACTTTCCCCTCTTCAACTTGCTCTCTTTTATAAAGTTGCCTATAATATTCTTGTATTATTTTTCCCATCTCTTTATTTCCAAATTTACTTTGTCCTTGATCATCAATCAATTGCATTATTTTTTTTAATTCCCTTTCTTTTTTCAATTTATATGCTAGCCACCTTCCTGGTTTATTTGCTTTTTCAAAATAATTCTGTTTAGCACTTCTTATTTTTTGGGCTAGTTCTTCCTTCTCCAGTAAGTCCATTTTATGTTTCAACATATCCATTTTCATTTTTACTTCTTTCTTGTGTGGATCTTTCTGGAGTTCCTTTTCAGATCTCCTATATTCATCCTTTAATATTGTAAAAGTTTGATTTTTTTTCACATTCCTTTTCTTTATATAATCTATTATTATACCTCTAGCATAGGCCTTCCTTGTGTCCCAACAGTTTTGTATCGATGTATCTTCCCTTTTATTCTCCTTAAAAAAAATCTCCAGCTCTTTTTGCATTTTCTGTACAAATTCTTTTTCTTTTAAAATTGTATTATTCAAAGTCCATCTAGCTTTCCTTTTTTGGCCTTTCCAAGTTGCTATCACTGGATTATGATCAGCCCATAAATTAGTGTCTATTTCCACCTGCTCAATTTTCGGAATCAAGTCCATTGTTGTCCATATCATATCTAACCTGGACCATGATGAGTGCCTGTTTGAGTAAAAAGTGTATTGTCTGTTCTTCTCATTTCTAACTCTCCATATATCTTTCAAATTTATTTTCTCTGTCATTTTAAAAAAAGAATTCGGTAGAGTTTTTCTATTATGTCTTCCTGTTTTTGTTGTTTTATAGTCCAATTTTTCATCTACAATTCCATTAAAATCTCCCATCATACATATATTATCATAGTCGATAAAAATCACTCTGATTATTATTTGGCGCGTATATTGCAACAAGTAGAATCTTCATATTATTATCAATTATCTCCACTATCAAAACTCTACCCTCTGAATCTGCATATATTTGTTCCACTTTTATTGAATTTTTAATGTATAGGACAACGCCTCTCTTTTTGTTTTGTGATAATGATGAAAAATTTTTCCCAAGTTTAGTTTGTGCCAATAATTGTTCATTTTGCTTTTTAATGTGAACTTCTTGCAAACAAATTATATCAAAATTTAGTTTCTCTAATTTATGAAAAACCTTTCTTCTTTTCACAGCCGAATTAAGTCCATTTATATTTATTGAAATTAATTTCGTTGCATCCATATTCATATTTTATATGTAGGTTTTATTGCTCTAGTTGATCTTACTTCCCGTTGTTCTTTGAGTTCCACAGTCCCGCCAATAGCGCCCTCCGTTGATTCAATCATTACCATTTCCTCTTCTGAGGTTTTGTTGACATTAGTGCAGCTTGTGTTTCTGTTTCCATTGCCACTTCCTTTTCTTTTAAAAAATCTTCATAGAAAGCTCTCGCTTTATCAATTGTATCTAGCCTGTATCTTTGAAGCTGCCATGTTAAGATCAATCCTTCTGGAATCAGCCATCTAAAATTAACACCCTTTTGAATTAGTATCTTGGTCAAAAATTTATACTCTTTTCTCATATCTCTCACTTTCCTTGGTATTTGTTTCAAGACCACCACTTCTTTCTCCTTGAATTTCAATGTTTTTTCTCTCGCCACTTGGAGAATTTGAGCTTTAATCGATTTCTTAGTAAATCTTATATGGACTTCTCTTGGTAATTTATTACGCATAGCATATCTAGTGTGAACTCAATAAATCTCATCCACACCATATGTCATCTCCTCTCTAGATATCTCCAAAGCATCAGCAAGCATAGAAATCATAACATTCGCAAGATTTTCTCCTTTCTCTTCCTCCACATTTTGAAATCTGAGATAGAATTCTGCTTTATCCATTTCGAGTTCCACTACTGCATTTCTTTCGCTTTCCACCTCTCTCAGTCTATTGTCAAAGTCTTTCATTTTTCCCCCCTTTTGGTCATCCTTCTTCTCAAGTTCTTGTAATCTTCCTTCAAATTTTGACATTGCCTGTTGGATGCTGACCACTTTTTCATCTGTCTTTATTAATTGTTGTTCCATCCTTTGGACATTCTTACAGATAATTTTTTTGTTTCTCTATAACATTGGTATTTGCTAGTTTAAAGAAGATGCTCTAAGACTTTCCTCAATAAAGATATTTTTATCCTACATAAAGGAAGGGAGACCAATCTACTGTAGATTCAAATAGCTAACCTGATTAAATCCAACTGGCCACGTGATGGAATCTACAGAAATATTGAAGAACTTCTCAGCTGGAACTTTGGGATTTATCATCCCAACTTTGATCCTAACAAAGGATTGGTTTGGGAATGAGATCCAATTGATAATATCGTATCCACCAATGAATTCTCTGTTTTCATCAAAGATGATCTTTTCACCAACACTGTTGTTGAATCTGACACTTCTCAGAAAAGAATGAACCTGAAAAACAGGGACAGCCAGAGAGGGACAAAGAGAGAAAAGGACAGAGAAGAGAAAAAATATATATCATATTTTAGAATGTATATGGCTATAAAAGCTGAATGCTATTCTTACTTATAATTACTTGGTGGGATGTATTGATTGGACTATTTAAAAAACTTTGTGGATTACAAACATCGATTGATGTGGATTTATTGAAGTATATATATATTATATAATTAAATGCTATAAGTTTGGAGATGTAATTTAATCTCTTTTTTATAAGTTGAATAAGCTTGGCTATATTAGATAAAGCTAATATTTACTAGATATTAGTTGGAGAACTGAATACTTGTTGGAGGGAATAAAAATGAGTGCCCCAAATCTCACCAAAATTGGCAAAAAACTTTCCTCTTCAGCACCTTCATCGGGGGCTCCCAGTCCTGTAAACCAAACATGCCTAGAGCTAATGCTCCTATAAGAAAAAATCTAACAATTTTCAAAAAGAAATGCAGACAAAGTTACAGATAATCCAGGAAGCAATTGCCTCTCAAAAAGAAGAAAAAATTACAATGAGATAAAAAGTGAGATAAAGAGTAACCAACATAACCGGTAATAGAAGAGGAAATTGATCAAATTTACAGATTAAACTCAAGTTATGCACGAAGACACAAATTGCCTAGGGAGGCCCATGTTAGATTTGTCAAGAGTGAGGGGAGAACCACTTCAGTATAGAAGAAAAGAAATTACGGTGTTGAAACAGATCCCTTGGAAGATAAGAGACTTAAGAAAACAATATCAATTTTTTACTACAAAGTTAAACAAAAAAGGAATAAATTTCAGGTGGCTGGTTCTGGATGGGATCCTAACTAACTGGAACTCTAGAAGATATACATTGGACTCCACCTTCAGGGCAGAGGAGTTCTATGAGAGACATGCAAGCATTTTTGAAGAGAAAACACAAAGCGCACCAGAAGATAAGAAAATTAAAAGAAAACAAGAAGAAAAAAACAACAGAAGACACAGTGTTACAAAAGGAAGAAAAAGACAAGGAGAAAGGAAATATAGATGAAGAAGAGGGACTAATGAAAGAACAAAGACTGAAAATGACCACTAGAAAACCAAACCCTAAATATAATAAAGTTTTTCAAGGACTTAAATAAGCTAACTTTGGAATTTATTTGGCAAGGGAAAAAAGTAAGAATAAAATAGAAAATGTTACAAGAATCTAAAGTAAACGGAAGGTTTGGATTACCAGATTGGTTTTTATACTACCAAGTATGTGTGATAACATGGCTAAAAGAATGGATAATTGTTAGACACAAGGGATTGTTATATCTAGAAGAACATGACCTGCAATTGGGATGGCATGCCTTCCTATGGTATGAGAAGAATAAAACTCCCAGATATTTTCAAAATCATTACATAAGAAACTCACTAATATCTGAATGGGAAAAAGTAAAACCCAAAACATATTTGAAAATCCCAGAATGGCTCTCAACGATGGAAGCCTTTAAATTTGTGACATATAAAGACATTTTGAATTCTGAAGGGAAATTAAAATCGAAGCAAAAGCTTGAAGACTTTAAATCAGTGGTGAAATCTAAAATTTGTTACTAACAGTTCTGTGGGCGTGGCTTGGTGGTGGTGGGTAATGTGACTGGGTGGGCGTGGCCAATTTTTTTTTTACTTTTTTAAAAAAGAGAGATTTTAAAAAAGCAAAGAGGTTGTAAAAAAATGCTTTCAAAAGGCTCTGACGATCCCAGCTGAGTTGCCTGATTGGCAGAGCTTTTTTTTCTTTTAAATGCCTCTGATGATCAGGCAACTCAGCTTGGATCGTCAGAGGCATTTAAAAGAAAAAAAGGGTTTTTTTCTTTTAAAAGCCTTTGATGATCCCAACTGAGCCGCGCGATCATCAGAGGCTTTTTTTTTTTACTTTTAAAAGCATTTTTTCGGCCGAAGAGGTTGTAGAAAAAATGCTTTTAAAAGTAAAAAAAAAAAGGCTCTGATGATCGTGCGGCTCAGCTGGGCATGGGGGGGGGGGGGAGCAGGGATTTTTGCTACCAGTTCTCCGAACCACCCACCTCCATCGCTACTGGATCGGGTGATCTGGTCCGAACCAGGAGCATTTCACCCCTGCTTTAAATTATTATGCTGGCCTCAATTGCAAATACAATCTAGATATGATTTAGATGTGAGAAAGTATGGCTTTTATAAAGGGGAAATACCCTTTGATCAAATACTGCTGAATATGGATGAAAAACTAATTAACCCCCCTAGAGAATATTGTTTGTTAGAGTTTATGGATAGATAGACTTATAGATATGGATGTCCCAAAGGTGCTTATCGAAGAGGACACTGGACTTCCTTATTTTCATTGAAGAGGTTTTGCTTCTCATCCAAGAGCTTCTTCAGTTCTAAATTAATGGTGGGGAATGGAAGGATTTCTATTCCTTGCAGTCATCTGGTCATTTGCACTCTTTCTGAGAGTCATTGAGGACACTCGGAGGTCTTCAAACAAAATCAAAAAAAGTCCAGTTGCCTCTTGAAAAAGCACCTTTGGGACAACCGTGACCTGGATGACTGAGAATATCCACAGACATAGAGATATGGTTGTCTCTGCACTAATCAGCTTACAGGACTTACCTGCCACCACATCTGATTGTGAAACTGTTTCCTTCCTTTTTTCACTATTGTTCTGTGTCTGGACTTGGATAAATACAGAGATTGCAAAGCGTGTGCCACAGCATAGACTGCGTTATAAATATTGTAACTCTGGCCACTGATGCGTGTTTCAAACACAGATGTAGGAAGAGTCTCAAGCTTCTCCTGTCCGGTACAAGTTACCTCAGATGTCTCTGTTTTTGAGAAGTAACAACCAAATGCCTGTTCCCAGAAATCTTTCCGAAAATGATCGTGATGGTCATTGTTTGGACTTAGATTGTGAAGAAATTCCTGGAAATTTTGGACCTCTTTTGTGTGAACTGCAAAGGATAAAGCACCATGTAGGAAATGGACGTCCCAAGATTTATGAAGGGCCATTGAAGTATAATCTGTCTGAGCATTTAAAAGCCAGATCTTTTGCTTCTTTGGTATATCCTCCACTTCTGAAAACCGGAGGAAAGTTCTCAGAATTGTTATGGTCTGAATATTACCATATAGGATTATCAGGTTGGCCTTGCTCTTCATGAGAACACGGTATATTTGTACTCCTTCATCCATAAAATCCATAAAATCATTATAGAAATCTATGTTTGGTAACTCTGCTATGAACTCAGTGCAGATGCCATACTTGGAAAAGGAAGGGACCACCTCCTGGACAAATTTCTCTGCTTTCTCATCCTTCACTATAATAATTCCAACCCAGATCCATCTTAAATACTTCAATAGCTCCATGAGGCCCTTATGTTCATGGGATTCATCTGGAAACATTTGCTGGAAGAACACTGCTTGAGTCTCTTTCTCCATGGCTGAAGCAGAGCCAAATGTCAACTAAAGGAAGACAAACAGATGGAAAGGTCTAAGTGAACCTCTGACACTGTGTACATTCATTTGAGTCTTTGGGTGCCCTTGAGTTTAAATACTGAAACATTATGCAACCAGTTGGGTTTATCTAGAAATCAACCAGCATGTCCCGCTCTATCGTGAGGTTGACAAAAAGGAAAAGAAGAGGGGGTCAAGCTATTCCCCAAAGCTGGGGAAGAAGGGACCTGAAACTGGGACAAGAAATAATGGATGGATACTACTTAAGAAGAGAACCAGGTTAGGACAATGATTAAGTTGCCTTCAGACATTGTGTATGCTCCATCTCTGGAGGTTCTTAAGAAGAGATTGGACAACTGTTCATCTGAAATGGTACAGGGATTCCTGCCTGAGCAGGCAGTTGGATTAGAAGACCTTCAAAGTCCCTGACAA